TTTGTATGGGGATGTGCGATTGGGAAATGGACTTTTGCATCCGCAATTTCAAAGTCAGTTTTTTTTTCTCTCCTTACATTTGACGATCATTAACCATTGCCGAACCTGTTTCTAGAAAGCAATCGGCACCTCCCTCGCGATGTCACAGACCTTTCGGTTGACCGGGGTGTTGTGTGCACACAACGCTTTATTTGATATCCCCACCGTGCTCATGGCGCATCTCTGGATGCGGGGCGCATTCAAAACAAAATACAAGGCAAGTTTTGCATGTCCCACCCTATGTACCCTATCTCTGATTCCTCCCTCTGCAGACTCCAGAGGAACTCTTCCAGGACGTGTCACACGCTCAGATCGAGCTCGATCCTAACATGTTGGATCAACCGTTGTTCGTATACATAAATTTCTTCTTCTTCTGAAATCCACGACTCACTCAAATCCTCTAGATTCCTAGCTTCTATTCCAGGTGGACGCGAATTCCTCGATCCCCTCCAGGCAGCCATGTCCCGCTCATTTTACGACGGCTTACGGTACTGGGCGCAAGAAGCGGACCTCCCAGGCGTGGGCTATGGCGCACTGCGTCGTGACACCGGCAACCTTGTGAGTTCATTTTTTTCTGCAGTTGGCTTCACGCAGTCATGAGTCTTGATATGTTAGTTTGGTCTTCAAATGGGCCGCAAATATGCCGAGGACGTTCTTAATCACGCGAGGTCTGGCCCATTCCGCGCATCATATTCTCTGAATATGCAAAACCTTAATCTCGTCAACATCCGGCTGGGCGAAGTAGCAGGAATAAAGGAGGCAGCTCCTGGAGAAAAGCTCAAGGTAGCCAAATTCACCCTTCGTCTTCAATTTGCCCCTGCTCAAGGCGGTATTGCTTTTCAGGAGCATAATGAACGGCACATGTTCGCGAGCTACGCAGTCGAAGCTCTCGTTCGGAGCGCCAAGAAGACGCCTATGGAGGCGACAGACGACAAAAAAACTCGGGCTACTTTCAAGGACGCTTTGAAGGTATATACAATATTTCACGCACCCTGTGAACCGATTTTAACCTAACGTTTGCGCAGAATCAGCCGCCCCTCAAGGCATTAGATGACGCTCGTCAAGCAGCATGGTCAGAATACCTCAAGTGCTTCACCGCTACGGCAAGCGGGTACCAACTGTCCAAACCAAACGCGAACACAATCTTCAAACGCGCAACGGGCGAAAAGACTCTAAAGCAGGAAGATTCTGTCCCGCTAGTCTTCCAGACTCCGTGGACCGCAAAGTCCACCGAGCCAGTAAGTTTCTCTACCTCAGCTGTCGTTTTCGTTCTCTCTCATTTTCGACACACAGGTCCGTGAAACTTTTCTAGTAACCGAAGCTGCCTTTTTGAAAGAGCAGACAAAGCTGCTGCGGCGCTACGACATGGACCTCAAAAACAAAAAGAACTGGGAGATTCTAGATTCACCATTGACCGGGACCCCAGCAGAGCGGCGCGCGCAAGTCGAGGAGCTAATGCGGCAACATCCCTCAAAACACATCGAACAGGCTGTAAAAGACTCGATGGGTTTGTGGTTGCTGCTCTTCGCATCATCGTCTGCTCATCTCTTTCTGTAGCGAGCATTTCTCCACCGACCTCTACCAACGATGTCGATAGTATCCAGTCTTGGGCCAAGAACCTTGACACAGCTACCGCGACCACAATCATACTGGAACAGGCAGAAGAACTAGAAGATGAAGGCGACGCTGACAACCTTTTCAAGTTTCTTGACCGGCTCACCGTGCAAGAGCCTGCTCCTGAGTTCAGCCCGCAATCCGACCCTTCTGATACTCCTTCGAACGAGGAGGAGGACCGTGAAAACGAAGACACAGCCAATGCAGAGCTTGCGCCGAACACCGACGAGACCACCGAGACGGACATATTCAAGATTCCGATGCCACTCATGAGGCGTTATATGTTTAATTATCTTGTTCAGCCGTTCGTCGCTGCCCGGGAATATGAAAAATGTCGAGTGAGTCAAACTGGCGATATTGAAATTGTCGGCTCGACTCACCGTCTATTGTACTTAGCAGGACGACGGGGACTACCACTGCCCTAAGTGTCTAAAGTACACGCACCGAGAGACCGTTCCCGATGCAGCCTACCCAACAATCTCCAAACTGGAACGTCACTTGTGAGTATCCCGTCCCATTCCCTTATCACGGTTATAATATTTCGCAGGTTGATGCATCACTCGGAATGGGATGATCTCGAGCTACAGATGGTCGATGAGGACCTCGACACATATCATTGTCCGGCGGGTGATTTCGCGTGAGTGTTTCACTGTTCTGTCTCTGGACATCCTCAGCATTGTATCAGAAACGCGCCAAGCGTCAAAGCAGTGCGTGTTCACGCAGTATCAGACTGCATTCAGGTCGACTTTTTCCGGGACCTTGAACGCAAGGCCCAGGAGTCACGTCCGAATGTCGAAGAAACACGCACTTTCCGTGACAAGCGGCAAGGGAGGTCGAATGTCATCAATGGTGTTGCGGAGTTGGAGGACGATGGATCCGACCACAACAACCCCGTCGCTAGTACTTCTCAAGCTGGAGCCATCGACCTGAATGAGCAGGTCAAGGACTTGATCACAGCTGTAAGTGTTGCATTGTCCGTCGACACGAACCTTGAACTGATCTGCATTTCACAGACCGTCACCCATTCGTCGTTGGATCAAGAAGCGGCAGAGTTGGGCGATTTTTTAGAGGAATATCTTGATCATACGGGCATCCAGCTTCAGTCTTTGGCTCGAGGGCGAAAACCGGTGGGGCAGAACGACTGGGATAGTCTTAACTTGGACAGTGTATGAGTGTATTGATATGTTCGAGCTTGGACGAGCAATCCAGGATAAAAAGAACTCGTTATGTATTACATTGTTGTCAGCAAATAGCGTGAGAAAGCGATCCTGCAGTATTTAATCACATTTGTCCGTAAAACAATCTTCGTCTTCGACCACCATCATCATCTCTGTTCTCATTTCTTGTAAAACCTTCAATGCCCCAAACCATCTTGTCGGACTCGGAGGACGAGTTTCCCTCTCAACTTGCCCCCAAGCGTGCTAGACCTGTCGCCGACTACGTTGATTCAGATGTCGACATGCTTTCTTTAGACAACGACGACGCTCCTATGGTCGCCTCCACATCCACCAAAAAGCGCCCAGGCTCCCCCGTTTCTCCTGCTGTTGCACCTCCCCAGAAAAGAACCGCCACCGCAAAAGGCAAGGCTAAGAACCCGAAAAAGAAAGAGTCGTCTATTACAAAGCAGGCTGCATCTTCTACCATCAGCGCGTTCTCCTCCATTATCAACAACATCAATAAGGCCAAAGTTACTTGCGCTCGATTGATAGTGGAGAAGGAAGAGGCGAAGGAGCGTATTACGGCGCTCAGGATAGATTTGGAAAAGTCTAAGGCGACAACCCTTGCGTTCACCAAAGAGCTGGAGGACCTCAAAACTAGTAAGTCAATCTTGCACATTCCTTTGTTGCCACTGTCGAGCTCACCTTACAGGCAACGCAGTGGCCCTGCAAGAAGCCCGCTCCCACTCGTACCATCTTCAGATTGAACTACGTAAGCTAGAGAAAGAGAGTGCGTATACGCAGCAGCGAGTTCACTTCAATATCATACTCATTTCCGTTCGTAGACGTTCCGCCGCCGACTTCCCAAGTCAATCCGCTGTTTTCGAGCTCGGCATTCAGCAAAGGTTTCCCTACAGCTACCGCTTCATTCTCTGGCACCGCGCCCATTGCTTCGACCCCAAATAACACTTCGTCTGCCCTACCCTTTAACTCGAATCACACTTCTTTTGGCAACCAGCTCCTCTCCGCCCCTGCCCTTCACCCCGCGCGCGGCTTCAAACCTGCTCAGAATTTTGCCAACAGCCCTGCGTCTACTTCGGGTTTGTTTTCTCGCACGAATGTTTAATTGTTGTTGCATGCATGTATAAAGGCTCTGGATAACATTGATATGTACCTTACCCTCTGTATCGCGTAGGTGTCTTAAGTAGCTTAACAACGTCCTGTACGAATTCACTTGGATGAAAACACAAGGTGACGTTAGTAACATGACTTTTGACAGAAAATCACGGGATCCCCGGCGCCGCGCGCCGCGAGTTCAGCGAGCGGCAGTGCGGCGCCGTGGGCACAGAATCCAGCAAAAAAATACGCGGGGTTTGGGGCGGAGCCCCGACAAGCTGTGCACAAGCCGTAGGTAGGGACGCGAGCGCAGCGAGCCGGCCCTGCCGAAGGCGGGGTGCTTAAGCTTGTTCACTTGGAAATTTGACTTGTTGTCACGACCCCGTGACCGAATTCCCCTTCCTTCTGCTCCCATGCCTCCCAAGACTAAAGAGTACGTATCGAGGCTCGCTCTGCCAGACGCAACTCAACTAGGTGCAGCGCTGCAAACTCGGATGGCAGCAACAACAAAACAAAATTCAATGCCGCCAATGCGCGGATCCTTCTGCACGCGCTCGAGGCTGCCGTTTTTGACCGCGAGTCCAGCAAGGTCTTACATGGTCGGGATGTAATCGCTGGAATGCTCCAAGAAGAGAAAAACACTATCGCTGCAATCGCAGCCGAGAGAAGCATACTTGAAGGTTTGAAGAGAGAACGCGAAGAAGAAATTGTTCGCCACAGTGCGTTGTGTATCTGACTCGGTCGCGCCATCTCTCTTTCAAACCCTGATAGAACGCAACATGGAGTTCGAAGAGCAAAAGAATCGTGAACTAACTTCAAAAGTGGAGCTGGCTCGTTTGAAGGCGCGCCGTGCGTTACCAGCTATTGAAATCTATGGCCTATGCATACTTACACTCTCACCAGCTCGTCAAAAAAATGGCTTCGAAGCATACGCGTGAGTCAGACTCTGGGTATCAGTGGAATGTCTGTGTAGAGTTTAAATTCAACGTTATTCAACATTGATGCGGGATCTCGACGACCAGTTCTTCGTCTGTTCTCCCCGACTCGGGGACGCCTGCGCGACTTTATTTCAATCCGTCTTTAGCTCAGTTGGAAGAGCGTGAGACTGTAATGGGATCCCTACAACCAATCTCAATGTCACCCGTTCGAGCCGGGTAAGACGGATGATCTTTTTTGTTTTTGCGCCGATTGAGCGCTGTGTCTTAGGTCCCAGAAGCCGATCGATATCAGTGAAACACAAATATTCTGATGGAATCGGTTGTCGTAAGCTATGTGACGAGATTATGCTCTCCAGACAATTTTAGAGACTATTTCTGGTGTCAGGCTATATGCCTGTGTTCAAGATACGCGGAAGAATGCGCTGGAGAGCGCCTATTGAGTGAAATTTTTAGCTCCTTCCTAATCGGGTTGCGAAGCGGTTGTTTACCACTGCTTGCCGCGATCATTTGATGCCTGTCCTTTCACCTTCACGTTGAGCTTAAGCGCTGAATTAGCGGCGAGACTGGTTACTGCTACTATGCTCTCGCGCTGTCGCCTGAACAAACTCATCTGGAATGGGCTGGAATCTTAGACGTTTTACCGTTCTCTCACAATACGGCAGTCTCTGGTAATGCGACGGCGACTCGGCGCTTTGTTGCTTCCAAATTCTTGAAATCGCATACATTGCTAGTCAGAAACACAAATCCCTGACAGCAAAACTCCTAGAGCGGTCAAGGCTGACCGACTGTACGACTCTAGTACGACTCTCACTGTTGACAGCCTTCGGCCTCACGGCTTCATGATCCTTGCTTCCTCTTCTTTGCTCAGCTGAGACTCTACGCGGGGTATTCTGACCACCTATTCAAGACCCGCACAGACGTCGCTTGAATCGCACTCCACGGCCTTGGCTCCCCGGTGACCGTTTATTTAGGGCTTCTGGACTGCCTCATTGGCTCCTTCGGCGAAACGAGTCCGTTTCTGGCCTCAAAGAGACTCACCTGGCGATTGCTGTTCAATAATAATGTTTCGGCTTGCTCTGCTTCGACGGCAATGAAAGTGTATAAAAGGCATTCTTGGTCGAGCTGCAGACTCAGACCATTCTCATTCACTCACACAACATGAAGTTCACTGGATTTGCCTCTCTCTTCGTCTTCGCTGTCGCTGCTCTGGCCGACACCGTCGCTTACGATCAGACATACGACAATGCCGCTACGTCTCTGGACGTCGTCGTGCGTATTCATCCTTCATTACATCCCGCCCAACGAGCCTCATCGTACGCCTAGGCTTGCTCTGACGGCTCCCACGGAATGGAAAACCAAGGGTTCTCGACTATTGGCTCCCTACCTAAATTCCCCTTCGTTGGCGCAGTCGGTGCCATCGAGGGCTACAATTCGGTCAATTGCGGGACGTGCTGGCAGTTGACCTACGCGGGCACCGGCAAGACCATCAACGTGATTGGCATTGACCATGCTGCTCCTGGAACCTTCAACATCGCGCTCAGCGCCATGAATACGCTCACGAATAATCAGGTGCGGTTGCTTTGGTCGTTCTTATTGCAGAAGCTCAAATGAGTCGTATCAGGCCGTCCACTTGGGCAGAGTTACTGTCACCTCAAAACAGGTGGCAAAGTCTGTCTGCGGTCTCTAAAATAATTCAAGGTCAACTCGTTTGCGTCATCTAAATGATGCAAGCAGCATATACATCGGACATTGGTATCTACATCACGGACTCTACACTGCACACGGACTTTGTTGTTGAATAAACAATTGATTGTAACGCACGAATGGTCAATCTGAGGACCCTACACGCCCTAAGCCAATTTCTGAACACACCAACAAGCGTAGGGAATCCCATCGACACGCTGCGTTCTCCGAATTTGCCACAAGCTGACCGATTTAATAGTGAATGGTGGGCTGAATGTGTGAGGTCGCCGAAGGTAATGCGGCATTTGCTCGACGGAAGTCCTTCCGTAAAGTATCGAAGCCCTCCTTCCTATTTGGGCTGCAAAGTGGTTGTTTGCCGCTATTTATTCTGTTTTCGCTCTCAACTCTATAAAGTCCATCATCTATTCACCGACGCTACCAAATTCAATGTTCACCTTGACCTTCAATAAATTTGATCATCTTGCTATACTTGATTCGTATATTCATCTATGGCTGCCAGGAAGACTTGTGACTCGAAGAAATGACGGCTTTCCGACTGCACGAATCAGGATCCACATTGGCAGCCATCTAGGACTGTGCTGGTTCTCATCTGGTGTCTCTATGCGTACTAGTATCCACGAGGACGGCCTTCAGGATATTATCTACGTATCACTATCTGAGTTCTTTTGGCTTTTGCTTCGCGGTCTTGACCGTTTCCTCCGGCTCTTTGGCCGCCTCATTGGCTTCGTGGTATCTCTCACTACTCAAACAATGATAAACTCAAATCAACTTCCCCGCTTCGACAGCCATGAAAGCGTATAAAGAGTGGGCATTGTGAAGCTGCCATAAAAAACACCCGCCTTGTCGCCGAACATGAAGCTCTCTGGATTCTGCTCTCTCCTCGTATTCGCCGTCGTCGCTTTCGCAGACGGCGTTAGTTACGATGGTGTATACGATTCCTCCTCAACCTCTCTGGACGTTGTCGTGCGTACTCATCAATCTCACCGCAGTTCAAAGAGCGTCATTATGCACAGGCCTGCTCCGACGAACTGGAAACCCAGGGATTCTCAACTTTTGGCTCGCTACCCGCGTTCCCCTTCATTGGTGGAGCTGGCGCAGTCGACAGCGCCGGCTCGACCAATTGCGGGACGTGTTGGCGATTGACTTACCCGAAGACAGGGAAGACAATCAATGTGCTCGCCGTCGACCACGCTGCGCCTGGGACCTTCAACATTGCGCTGAAGGCTATGAATAACTTGACGAATAACCAGGTATGCTTGCTCTCATCGACATCATGATATCTCTTCAAGGCTCAAAACACAAATCGCATCAGGCCGTGAAGTTGGGTAGAGTGACTGTGTCCTCTATTCAAGTCGCAAAATCCGCCTGCGGTCTCTAAATCAACTTCAAAGTCGGCTCTTTAGAGTCTGATAGTTGTGCTAGTGTAACAATCCTTCTACACTGCACACGAACTGTGTTGTTGAGTAATGAAATAGAATGTGGAATAATGCAATGGAGTGTATTGAAATCAGAGGCCAGCCCTGCGACGATTCTATGAGAGTGAAGTACATAATTTAATTGTGCGGGTCTCTAGTACACAAAACAAGTGATAAGTACAGGAATAAGACAAGAATAAGGAGAAATGAGAGATGATGACGATGATGCGTGCCTATGTTCGATGTAATTGTAACAGAGTAAGGAGAAATGATTTTGATTCGAGGGAGAGGACGCTCGATATGTTGTTGCATGGGAGCAAGGTTCATGTGAAGGAGTGAGACGCATGTGGGGCATGTAGATAGCAGCGAAAGCGACGAGACATATTGTGACAGAGAAAAGGAGTCATTGCAGGAATCAAAAAGAACGAGACAGCGAGATGTGTGTGTGTCAAACGAATGGATGAATAAAAATGCAGGAGACGATGCCGGTGTGTATAGTACAATATAAAAGAGAGACAATGAGAAGATAGATGATGGACACGCTCACTCCTCGAGCATCATAACTTCCATGGCGCCTCCGTGAAGTTGTACCTTCGCCCACTCGACCGCAAACTTGGACGCCTTGAGAAACTTCCGATGCGAGTATTTCTTGTAGACGTATTGGCTTGTAAAGTTGCGCTCGGCGAGCTTCTCCACCAACATCTCATGCCCCTGCATCACCTGTTCCTCCGTGTACCCAGAGTAGTAGACAAACGCTTCGTTCTAGAAAAGGAAAGTATCAGTAATTGCCAAATTGGGACGGATTTGAAAATGAAGACTTGCCCAGTCACCATCGAGCATCCTTCGCGCTGAGTACATGCCCACAGCAGCGATAAGACTCGGCTTTGCCCGCAGGAATTTATAGTCCAGGAGCGTCACCTCGGTGAGGAATTTGCTCAAAGTTCTCGTCTGAATGTCATAGTCATCGGCTTTGCTGATTTTGCGCATCCAGCTGTAAGGCGAGCAGTAGTGCGAGATCCGGAATTCGAGGGTCTGCAACATAATGCGTTCGCCCTTGAGTATCTCCTCCTTGCTGTACCCGTTCTCGGCCATGTAGACAAACTCCTCCACTGACGGCGCGAGAATCTCTTCGTATTTTGCTGCAATGAACATGGCTGTGATCCCGACGAGTTGCAGCTTAATCAGCGAGACAGCGCGGTGGGTCAAGAACCGATCAACGATGTTGATTGCAATCCAGAGGGTCTCGGGCAGCATGTGGTACCGGAGATGGACTTGCAACAACCAGTCGACGAGGGTCTGGCGCATCGCCCAGGTAATTTCGTTTTGGTGGGACATATAATCTGCATTAGGCATCATTTGGTCCTAGCAAAAGGATGTTAGACGAAGGTTTCGCAAGAACCAAACCAGACATTTACCTCGAGGTCGTTCATATATTCAAAAATATCCTCCGCATACTCCGACACCATGTTGGTGTCATAGATATCGACATCGTCCTGGAAAGTGTCGCGAATCGCTTGCACTTCCTTCTGGTATTGAAGTTTACGCTCCGTTGAGACATCTGGCCAGACTCGGGCAGGCTTTGCGGCCTTCTCGGTTTCCTCTTCAAGTTCTAATTGGTCCTCATCGCTATCGTCCATCGGTTCTACCTCCTCATCTGAATCGAGTTCCTCGCCTTCTAATTCGACCGGCGCGGCAAGATCCTCCTCAACGTCCATGGACATCCGCTCCTCCTGGTGGCGAACATCGTCGTCGTCATCTTCGGAGGCGGGTAGGGCAGGCGGGGGTTCGACGCGAATGGGCCGTCTGGTGTTTGCCAAGACAGGTATCGTTTGACGCAATGGGCGGGAAAGAGGAGCACGAGCGGGGACTACGTTGGCTACAGGGGGAGCCACTTGACTTCGGCCAGGGCCAAGAGGTACGCGCTGGGCGACGATGGTGGTGGAATCGGAACGAAGACGCTTGACGCCAGTCTCTGGCTTGTCGGTGCCAGCAGCGAGCTTGTGGAGAGTATCCTGGGCGAGACCTGTCAGCCACCATGATATCAAGGAGAACCACGAGGAATGCACTTTTCTGTTGAGGACAACCTCACTCAGAACGGTCCGTGACT